CCCCCCCCCCCCCCCCCCACCGCCCCCCGACCTCCCACCTTGTCATCGCCTCAACCCCCATGAAACCAACATCTCCGTCCCGATCCCCCCCGACTACTCCTGCTCCGGCACCCGGGGTGGGATCTGGAGCGTCCCCGTAACGGGTAAGCCATTGCCCTTCGCCCTGAAGATGCTCCTTGAGAAGCTGCGCGAGAGGGGAGACGTACCCGGTAACGGAGTGGCATAGGGGGTTACGTATGATCCAATGCATTCTTGAATGGACTGGCAAGCCCAAAAAAAGCTGGTTCGCTGCTACGGAAGTACATTTCTTGTCAACATGTGTAACTGCACCCCTTGCTGCTGTAAGTGGTGCACGTCAGGGATTTTCGTTTCTCATTTTCGGTTCCGAAGTGAGGCGCACCAGAACGAGAAAAAAAAAATGAGCTCGTCACACGCACCGCAACACACCTTCAACCAACTGGGTGATGGACGTGTTGTGCTTGTTGGTAATGGAAAGCACAGCACTAGGTGATGGATGGTGCCACGATGTACAAAAGAAAGCTCAACAACAGCGGGAGCGGGGGGGTGGGTGGACTTGTGGGAGGGAAGGGCACCGCCGTGTTTCCCACCATCAGCACGATAAGTACGATGTAAGTAATGCTATACAACGAAAGCCGCAATGACGCCACCAAGCAGCAGCAGCATCATCGACAAAAAGGACAAACACCTACACAAATCACATATATACACGAAGACACGCACATACACACGAAGAGACGAACACGGTGCGAAAGCAGTACTGTTGCCACCGTTTCTGTCTTCAACCCGGAGAGTAGCTTAGCCTTCCTGACGCCGCGTCACGGAGTCCCAGATCATGGCCTTTAGAAGCGTTCTCTGTTTCCAGCCGCACTGATACTCGCGTGCGTACTTTCATTGGTCAACCGGTATGCGCGGTCGGTGCTAACGATAAAAACACGCACCCCCCAATCCATGTCTACCTGAACGGCGAAGTCCTGCTGGAGACTGTTCAGCGTGCTCCTCGTCAGCTTCACTTCTGCCGTCTCCCTCAGCAGCCGGACGGACGAGCACTGCCGGGGTAGCGCTTTCTCCCCCCCCTCCTCCCCCCTTGCACTACGCGGACCCCCCCCCAAGCCCCCCCACCCCTTGCCGGCACGGTTGTACCACGAGGAGGAGGCCTCTTGTCGGGGAGGGGACGGCGGGGGAGAGTAGTCCCCCCCGTCGCGAAAGTTGCGGAGGAAACTGCTGACCCCTTCGAGCTCGAGACCGCAGAGGGTGTCCTGCGGCGGTAAGATCGGCGTGGCGGGAACCCCGTGGATCAAGGGAGGGGG